TATTTACAACCAAGCGTGCGATATTCACAATAAACCAACATTGTTACTTTCATAAAATCGTTAATCTGTCTTACCTTCATTATGAACCCAATTACAGGGTTGTAAGGAATGAATGTCCAGACAAAAGGGTAACATTGCATGATGTAAGCATCGTAGAGAGGTGTGTTTGGCTGGCAATCGATTGCAATAGCCAATCCCGATATATCTGATAGAATGTGTTCAACTGTCAACAAAACACAGAAGAAAATACTTATTTGTACAAAATCGTGTCTTAGGTGTTGCGCAGAAGGAGCAGTTTTAGTTGACGCAACTATCAAGTTTTTACAAGTTTCCGTTAATAGCGATGCAACTGTATGTTTTGTGCAGTCGTAACGCAACGCTATGGTTTGAATCACGGACGAAGGAAAAACATTGGAAGTACCTCAAGACTTGATTACTATCAGAACCGATGTCTCCAAAACTCACACATTCTTAATTTGAAACACTACAAAATCTTGATATTGATTGGTCGTAGTTTCAAATTTAAAAAGAAATAACAAATTCTGGATTGTTAATATAATTTAAACCATAGGTATAGGAAAAAAGGGGAGATATGTAATGGGGCTATGTAAGATCGGGTACCGATGTCGCCTCTTTTTAGCTTATGTGCAATTCAAACTTTACGCTCTATTATCTACTACCATAACTTAAAGATTTTGATTGGGTAGGGCTTAAAACGTGAAAACGGCGTAACACAATTTTACAATTTAACAAAATTAAACTTACAGTCCCTTGATTAAGAGTTATATTACAATATTTCAGTATTTTTTCATCCTGGTTCAGCCATTCACAATCAGGTGGTGTTTTAGTAAAAATGCTACTAGTATATAATAGCTAACTATTATACGTTAGATGGCGCTGAAACTCATTTCCGTTACACTAAGAACTCACGGAGCGGTTTTCATCCGCGTCTGCCGCGGGATCGCGGCATGTGTAGAATGTAATAGTTAAGTATGTAAAATTAGTTACACGTTTCACGGCGCGTTTTACGCCTGTAGTGGTTGCGGTTGCTCGCGGTTGCCGCGGCGAGGTGCTAGTAGAACCGCGCAAGAGGCGATCACATGCGCGCTTGACGGCCGTCGTCGCCGGCGTACTTTGGCGGTCTGTTCAGGCGCAACGTGAAGCAGGCGCACGCGGGGTGAGTTCTCTATTAAACCGCACGACTTGCGATTAACTCCCACTAACTTCGCGGTCCGTTCCGCAATCGCAACGGTTTCGTGCCCGCAACCGCGGCGGCTACGTCCCCGCACAAACTTGCAGGGTCGTGAGAAGAAACCGCTCCGTGAATTGTTAACCTTAAACTGATGCTACTCAATGAGGGATGTGGTCCTACCTAATCGATAGTTAAAAACCAAGTAGCTGTGTTTAATATTAAAAAATATTCATACTATACCTACACTGGTACTTGTGTATTATTAAATTAATATATTAATATAAATTATTATTATTTCCGTAATGGCAGCCACTAGGCTTGGGCCAGTGTCAGTTTTCTAAGAATAATATCAAAAATGTGGCGATCGTGTCAGTTTCAGTTTTCCATTATACGTTACCACGGGTTGGTGAAGCTGTCACTATCAAAAGTAAACTCGAACCATCAACGAATTTAATAAATTAAATTGTTGTTTTTTTTCCAAGAATTTATGCAATTTTCTATAAGTAATTGTTTTAAATTTATTTTGCATGCACGTGTAAAATAAAGCCGATTTTATTTTATTTATTTTTAAATGGATTTGCTATGGATCTGTCAATTTTCTTGCAGCTTCAATCCAACCTTCTTTTATTTTGAACTCATTGGAGAAACATAAAAATTAAAAATATTCTACGTTTAATCTACTAGTATAATGGAATTTAAATATCCATATTATCTAAAACAATAATACACATACATTTTTATTCCAGCAACAGCAACATACAAATTGACATGAAATTGAAACGGTTGTCCGAAATATGAGTTGTGTTAAAATTACTCGAAATAAAATGTTTAGTAATAATAATAATAAAATAAAAGAAATCAATTTAACGTGAATGCTTTTCGCTTCGATATTTTAGGGACTTTAATTACAAATATCATAGTAAGAAATTCAAACATTTGAGAAAAAATTTATTGTCGATAAACATCAGACAATGAACATCACTATATTTGAATCTAGAAATTTCTATGATGACAAAAAGGAAACATTGAATTATGATAGAAATAGTAGGTAACTAAAAATGCAAAAAGCTTTCGTTTCTTGTAACAAAATAATTATTTCGATAAACAGAAAATTTAAAATGTATATGATGACTTTCCGATAATTTGAAATACCACCACCGGTAATATTTTTGGTGCGGCTACCGTTTTTGCACTCCAAAACAACACAATAAGGCATTTTTCTAGGATTTTAGAGATTTGTATGAAACAATGACACAATTATACCATACAAAGCGAAAATGGCAGTCTGAGCTCAAATAGGTCTTACGAGACCTATACTTGGTACACGTCGGACGCTAAATAATGCCACTAATGCCACACGAGCAATACGGTATTGCAACACACCGCTTACTTACGCATCTCAGCACCTCTCCCCGCTTCCTCTCCTGGCCCCTTGTTGCGCACCGTATTTCAGCGCACCATGTAGCATGTAGTTCTAACTTATATGTAACATAACGCAGCGTCACCATTCAGGCGTCGAAATACAGACGCCACGCATCGTGTCGCATCTCTCTAACAGTTGCTAGTTGCAGCAACAACAAAAAGGTCTAGTTTACAATTGCTGCATTTTAAATAAACTTTCGAAATTCATAGCAAAAGCAAGACGCTACGGGGGATGCGGTTGCTAACTGGGGAAATTAGTAACTTGAAACAACCGGTACAAACTTCAAAGTTTCTAGTTATGGCAATTAACAATTTATTTAATTGGAATTCGATTACCGAAGCTCAACTGAAATGGCAACGTCTGCACAATTCCGTGAATTTATATGGAAAATGTCACAAACAGGTTGCAAGTTACCAGTTGCCGAAACTCGAGGACCAAAATTGCTCCGTTTGCGCAGCGCCTTAGAACAATATCCACTAAAAGTAGGTATGTCTCATCATATGTTAGCAATGGAGAATCAAATTTGTTTATGGCTATTTTTAATTAATTACATCAAAATAAACAAATAAACAAAAATTAGAATGAATACCTTGTATGCGATTTGAATTTTTTTTTTCAGAAGACCAAAAGTATGCTTTAAAATATAGTGAACACAGTCATGTTGTTTCTAATCGCTTATTAGATTCAAATAATTTAAATTTTATAATTTAAATTATTTGAATCTAATAAGCGATTAGAAATCTTATCTTATGATTTCGCTATTCTTGTACTACGTTTTTTGACAAGTAACTCCACTAGTTTGTTATAATAATAGAAAAAAACCAATACAAAATCTATAACAAACATATAGAAAAACAAGTAGGACCTTCTGTCACAGGTTCGAGTCCTATAAGGTGGAAGGAATCTTTCATTGTGTTCGGTCTTTGCTATATTTGCTATTGCATAACTATTAAACTATACCTCTCTTGGATGCTACATTAGTTTAATAAAATACATGCTTGAACAAGATTTGCTTTAAGAAAAATCAGTTGCAATAAAATATTATACAAAAGTGCATAGCTGAGGTTTCAATTATAAGACGACGAAATACATAAAATCTAGATTAAATTTCTAAAAGTTGTAAAACAAAAGTTTTTTCTTTTATAACGCTTTAAGAAGTTTAATTGACCATTGAAGAGAAAAACAGTTTTCCTCTATCTCTACATCAAAATGTATACGTACCAGCTGCCAGACTAAGCACAAGAATACAAGCTATTTTACAGTTTCTTGTTAGATTTTTGTCTCTTATTGGGTCCGCGGCTTCCGTCTTAGCTATGAGTTCACAAAGTTTTGGCCACATCGTTGCCAATCGGAAAAACAGCAGTCCTGTTATAGTGGTCATGGTGTAAAATATTATTGATGCTGAAATGTGATACATTGTAAGAAACTTTCGTAAGTGTGTTTTTGAGACGAATCATCAGAATAATGCATCACAAATTGATAGACCTGCACTGCAGAACGTAAGTTACCAATAGTAGCACTACGTACGATGCGTCTGCAAACCTTCACCGTGTTCATTGTTCACTAAATTGAAACATTATCAACTTCTATTAAAATTAAATTTGAAAAATAACTTACAGTCTTCTACAAATGAATAAGAAGTATGAAACATTTTTATAACATTGAAAACAATTAGAATAGCCTGTCCCACAGTCGATATCAGGGTGTATAAAAATCTTCCAGAACAAAATGTAAACCTGTAAATATAAAACATGCTGTAAGTTAAATACAAAAGTTGCCTCAGGAAGGCAAGTAAAAATAAACCAGTAAGTAACGGTATGTCCCATCAGTTATTTTCATCAATTGAAGGATCATCATCATCATAGCATTATTTTAGCCGAAAGTCGTCCACTGCTAGACATAGGCCGCCTTAAAAGATCGCAACAACGAGCGGTACCGCGCTGCTTGCATGCAACAGATTTTTGCAACCTTCACTATGTCATATCTCCACCTTGTAGGTGGTCAGCCCACGCTACGTATTTCGGGACGCGGTCGCGTTGATGAAATTTCTGCCCCGCCAAGACAGATTCGACTTTTGACTTTTTTCTTGAGGTACCTACGTAACTGGTTAATGTGTCTCAGATATAAAATAATCGTCAACAATTTCGACCTCTACAAGGTTCTGATATTCACGGGAGGGGCAGGACTTGGTTATTCGACGTCATCTTCGTCCTGTCCATGTTCATTATAATACCGACTTGTTTAGAGGCTTCACTGAGGTCATAAAACATTGTACTAAGATTCTCTATGGTATCAGCCTTTGAGGGACCGTTTGCCATGACAATAAAGGCTCAAATTATGCCATAAAAGTTCTAGGTCATCGGTATCAAATAAATTTAGACTTACCTTAATTTTGAAGCATCGTTCCCACTGATTCCAATAACAGGAAACAAACCAAAACATTGGGCAATCATGATCGGCACCTTCATTGCACTTTGAAAACTTGTTTCAGGTTTCTGTCGCTGTATGCTTGCTGGTTCACCAATTACCTTGAGGTCTCTTGTTGGTAAATCTGAGAATATAAGACACACTTAACAGATAGATAACAATTAGTTTAAGTAATTTGAACATAAAATAAATAAAAGAAAAAAATGTAAGCGTACAAACAAGGAATTTAAAAAATTTAAAAGTAAGTAAGAATTGATGAAAACATCTCAAAGAAAAATTCCTTCTATCCGGCTGGAGTTTTTGGCTTTAACGGCTTAACGGGGCTTAACAAAGCAAAAGCAAGCACATAGAGAAATTCGTAAGGTCTCCTGACTGGTTCCGTAGATCAGTTGGGAGAGCGACAGCCCGCGTTAGGCGACAAATATGGCTGGTTCACCTCCAGTTGGAAGGAATTTTTCTTTGAGTTTACTCTCGGAGTGGAGTAGTTTTCCGAAAAAATAAATAAATAAATAAGAAATTAGATTTATAATTATACCCATATCCGGAATTTTACTAAATAATACTATAAAAAGACAAAGTAAACGTTGGTTTTGTTTGAAAAAACAAATATGTGATTCATTTTAAAAAAATGTTATGAAATCGTTAACCGTAGCTCAGAATTAAGTCGGCGTTCTAAATAATACAAGGTTACTTGTAAAATACAAACTACCTCGCAGTCCTGTATTACTAACACCATAAAGAACAACTTTTGTAGGCAAATATACACGTTTTATACAAACATTTTATATTAATCTGGCACTTTTTAACCGACTTCAAAAAAGGGAGGTTATATGTTCGACTGTACGTATGTTTATGTATGTTGACCGATTTTGAAAATTCTTTTTGTTTGAAATGGTGCACTCTCGAGGTGGTCCCATTGTCACTAAGTCAAAATTCTGACTGGAAATCTAGCCAAATCCTCAAATTTTATAGGCGTAGACATCTAACTTAGCCCTGATTTTTTATATGATAACATTTTGTACAGGATACTTATTTTTTAAGCGTCTATAAAAAAGGAAGGAGGTTCTCAATTCGAATGTTTTTTTTTGTGTATTTTACGCGACTACTCCGATATTATATGAACCGATTTTGATGATCCTTTTTTTGTTGGAAAGGGGGTGCCGCAATAGCGGTTCTAATAAAATTTGAAAAAAATATTGCATCAAGGGAGGCAAATTAGGGGATGAATCAAGTATTATAATTTGGGAAGGAAAAGGTATGTGCAAGCGTTGTCCCTGACGACTCCCACTCATCAGACGCTGGCGCATTCTTTTGATACCGCATAGATTTATTAATTTTAAATCGATCTATTTAAATATTTTTGTTTTTGTACGAAAGTGTAACAATTAGATTTGGTAGAAATTATTAAATGTCATGCAACAAAATTTTGTTGTTTATGGTGGTAGTAAGATAGTCCTTTGAAGTTGTTACTATTTTACAAATTACCCTATATATTTCATTAACAAATGATGTATGCTAGTTCCAAGTTATTTTAATAAATTAAATTATTTTTCTACAATTACGTAATGATTAATAAGGCGGCTATCCAAGGTCCGTAGATTCACGGGCCGTGCCGTGCGAGCACGTGGGAAGAGGGCCGCCCACCGAGCGTGCCCTTGCTCGCCCGTAAAGCCTGTTCGGATCCGCCGCGGATCGGTAACTTAAAAGGCGCGCGCGGGCCGCCACGCGCATCGGCCTGAAACAGCACGGATTCACCCGCGACGCGAGCTCGCCCGTTCTAATCGGCGTGCTTGAAATCACGTGTCATGGGAAGCCAGCAATAGAAAGGTCGAACGAAAGAATACTTCCTTCGATCTGACAGGACGCAAACCCGGGCCAAGTCTGTGCCAAATCATGGCCACCGATATCGATCACGTCTATGCGGTTTTTTGTTTCAAACAGACCAACGTCACGAAGTGTTCTTTGTTATTGAAAATAACAAGAGAAAGAGAAAAAAGAAATACTGTAGTCTCTGTTGTTAGTAAACAATAACAAAAATACTTGAATAACAACAAATTTTCAAACGAGTTAAAATTGTGCCACAATTTAAAACTTACCGTTATATAACAATAAGTCATTGTTTCGTTTAAACTTGTGAACTGAGAACAAATTCATGGTTTGCTCGTAACTGATGGTCATTTTGCTGACACTACGGTGTAATTAACGTTGTTTACTCGAAAGCAATTCACTGAAAAACATAGTTCTGTTGAAGGTCAGCTGTAAATGATTGATGTTGAACTAGACTGACTAACACATACCGATTAACTGTTATTTTTGTGATACGTCATTTGTGTTGGTGCTATTATTTTCTATTTGGTTTTTTTTTTCTAGTAAATGGCCTTGCTCTTGATCAATACGTAATCCTGGAACAAAGATTGGAACTACTAAGGAACAAGCTCGAAGATGCCCATTCAGTCGCACCTTAAAGATTCTCGTGTTGTATGCTCGGATGAGATTAGCACGGGATCGTGGAAAAAGGGACAGAAAGTTGGAGGCCTATACCCAGCAGTGGTTGAAGTCAGGCTTTATATGATGATGACAAACACTCGGAAACATAGTCGCAGACTGTGCGAGTAATAAAAGGTGATGAAAAGTGCTTAGTATGCCTGAACGGAATACACTAAGTAAAAATTATATCACACCGTAGGTACGTTAGTATGTCGGGTGGTAAAAGCACGCGGACGACATACCAGCTCACCGAAATATATTCTATAAAAAACCGACAGGAAGGCAACTTTTCTAAATTATGAAGTTTCTGAATTATGAAGGCTCTATCAAGAGTCTCTGTTTTTTATCGTTCCCAAAATGTTTCGTTTATTTGTTTATAATATCAAGTGAAGAGACGGAAAAGTTGTGCTTCTGGTGGTAAACAACACGCCTGCCTATAACAGTTGCAGTGTCACTTAGAGTGTTAAATCGCAATGTCCCAAGGTCACTGCCACTACAAAACCGGAACGCAGTAATGCTCACATTACTGCATGGCGGCAGAAATAGATAAGTGGCAGTACTTCCCTGGACGAAGTTTTTCACAAGAAGCTCTACTGCTACCTGGTTATTGTATAACAGACAGATTTCTGTATACAATATAATTTTAGAAATGAGTAGTTTAGCGCTTTGTAACTTCAAGTTAACTTTAACTGTCTGACGAATGAGTAGTGAATTTTGATCAATATGACGTTTTCAGATGTAATTTTGGTGAAATTATAGACACATGGGACTTTTAAACTTGTCTCAGGGTGACGGGCGCAGTGGTAGTGCCCCTCAGATCTTTGCGATTTAAAGCTCTAAGTGACACTGTAACTGCTATGGACAGGCGTGTAGCTCACCACCAGGCGCACGACTTGGCCGTTCCGTCAAATGTTTTTTTTTTTAAACTTACTAAGTAGGTTTATTGAAAGTTCGCCATTCGCGTCAGTAATCGCGGATTAGGTGTATTTAAGCCTTCGCGAGTTTGTCGTTCCATTACTGAAACATACGGGATCATAATTTGAATTGCTCAACAATTGAGGTATACCTACAAAGGTTTGTGGGATAAGAGTGTAAAGTATAAAACCATAAAAATTACTATTACGTTCCAATCACTAAGTTAAAAATAAAACCAACTTCCGGGATTTTCAAAATGAAGTGTATTTCCAACACACGCTATTTTTTTAAATTCTGTGGGCCACACTATTTTAACACAAACGCTTACACTATTAATAGGTTTTGATCGACTTAGTTTTTTTTATGGTATCAAGTGACGGGACTATCAAGTCGCGCGACTGATAGTAAGCGACACGCATACCTACAGCAGTTCCAATGCCACTCAGGGTTTTTGGTCGAAAAAATCTGATAGACACTGCCACTATGCCTGTCACTCAGAGACATGAGTTGACAAGTCCCAAGTGCCTTTAATTTCACTAACACCCTTACCCTTAAAAACCGAAATGCTCAGATTAATGCTTGGCGGCAGAAATAGATAAGGTGGCAGTACTTCCCTGGACAAACTTTTTCACAAGGAGCTGTAGTGCTGGTAAAAATTTTGTTTAAACCAAATTATGGTGCTACGTACCAGCTTATATAATCACTTATGGCGTCTTATTATACAGAATTTGCTACTGCATACCGGAATCAATTGATCTAAAATACATGAACGTAATTAATTATACTAAGATTTCTTTACACGCTACAAATGAATCCGTTCTTATGGTAAGCGGCACAGAGTTTAATTTCAATCTTAAGTGTCAAGTTTGTCGTACTCTTCTCCCTGTATAAACTTGATACTATTTATTATTGAGGTAAGAAAATAACGCTCAAATTGACGACAAACTGACACGAGGAAACTTCTAAAACTAAATTCGATTGGAATGCAATATTTGCAACAACCACGACACGTAGCGTGAGTACTGCATATTCAATTAAATCAATATTTGCTACATAATTGTCACTAAGTACCTCAATTAAATAATATTTTGTGCACTTTTCAACACTTCCTGATGATATACTTGATACTTGTTGAATCAAAGGTGAAGTTAAAACATTGTGCCAAACATGTTTTGTTCCTTGCACCTTGTCAACAGGCTTCTTGTTCCTAGACAAATCATCTTTAAACATATTTTTAATAAAAGCAAACATAAAAGATTTAATTTAAAGTTCAATTTACCCGGCTTTAGCTACTTTACGGAAAATGGCCAATATTTGTAAAATTAGATTGGATTTTTGTTTATTATCAATCATATTTATCGTGATCTTATTTGATGCCGGCTGACGAACGCGGACTGACAGGCGGTGGGTTGGTTGTCTATTGTTTATCTGATTATGTCTTTTGTTGTAAAGAATTTGGCCTAATAAAGAAAGCATCGATCTGGAATTGGCTGTTCATGTTCTCTGTCTGGAGAATCCGCGTGGTTAGGTGCCACTACCTTAACTATTTCTATCGAAAAGCAGTGTGGCGATGCTGACCATTCATTAGTAGAGCTCCTTGTGAAAGTGTTAGTGGAGAGAAGAGCTGCCACCTTACTTACATTTGCTATCAAGCAGTAATTTTTTATTTTTTTATTTATTATTTATAATCAGGTTATAACGACCCGTAAATACATACCTTATTGACGAACGTACTAATTACTAATTATTTACACGTATTTTCTGCAACGTGTGACGCAACGTGGGTATTCGATAGCAGGCCTCGGAAACAACGATACATGACACCCTTCCGCAAAAACTCATCTTTCATGAAGGTCGATACTATATTGAGTTGGCACTCTCACCATAAATGAATTAAAATTCACATTATAGGGAAACCACAACTGCTCGATCATCAGGGTAGCATCATTGTCTTTCACTCGTATAAAACCACAGTAACCGCAGACTTTGTGGAGTAATAACACCGTGACACTTATAATGAAGTCGTTGGTGCCACTAATGTTACTGCTGGTTACTTCTTTTTTCGTTCCACCTTTTTGGAACCGTCCTCGTCTTAATGTGAGCTGCGTTCCGGTTTTGAAAGGTAAGGGTGCATGATGAAATTGCAAGTACATGAGACTTGTCAACTTATGTCTCAGGGTGACGGGCGCAATGGCACTACCCCTCCGATCTTTGCGATTTAAAGCTTTTAGTGGAACTGAAACTGCTATGGACAGGCGTGTCGCTTACCACCAGGAGCAAGATTTTCATTTTGTCACTTGGTATCATGAACAAATCTATCCATAAAAATCTGCTCACACAACGTAATAAATACCCGTATATATTCATTCAGAGCAATCTTCATCTTGAGATTACGAACCGACGACACTAACGACCCGGATTTGCCGGCTGTGAATGCTTATTATAATAACTCAAAGATATCTGTTATTTATAAAACGTAAATAAGAAATACAGTATGTATGGAAATATATTTTATATTATGGAAGTTGATAGATGAAGACGTTTTTACACTTGTGAATTTGGCGTTAACGTCAGTTAATTATGTACGGACAACGGCACATCAGACTTCACATTTTTGTTCGAAAATGGCCTTCAGTGCAACGGAACAAGATACGTCAATGTGTAGCTTGATATGCTGGCGTGTGTACAAAATAAACTTATCCCAATCAGAAAAATAAACTTGTTGGCTGACAGCCGACAGAGGTATAGTTCCTATAGCAAACTTTTTATTTCCATGGAACTACAAACTGATTTTCCTTGACAATGTTTTAATTATCATGGGACTACAAAATTATTTACAGTTTGTAGATCTATGACAATAAAAACTTTGTTACGAGAACTAAATAACTCAAACAGATTCAGACAATTCAAATTGATATACAGGTTGGGAACCCTATAAAATTATCCAATATGATGAAGTATCGATTAAGCTGATTTACGCTGGCATTTATTATAACTCTTAATAGATACAAGTGTGCACGAAGAAGCCTTATTGAAAGACGTACTATTCATATTCCCTAAGTCTGGTGTACCCTGGGAAACAATCAGCGAGAATCTTACTCCTGAAAGACATTCTATTCATATTCCCTAAGTCTGGTGTACCCTGGGCAACAATCAGCGAGAATCTTACGCCGATTGGCAAATCCATTCACCTCGATGGCAAACATAGTTCTGGGCTACAAGCCCATACCATCGATACGATAGTAAAAAGAATACAAATACAATCCAAAAACAACTCACGATCCACATTATTTTGCTGCGCAGCTTGCCGTACGAGGTACGTGCTGTTT